ATAAAACACACAGATCGCCCGGCCGTCACCTGTGATTCTTTTCAAGAAGTTGTTAAATAATGGTAAAAAATAAAAAACACAATATGAAAGAGCTGGTATGGCTTTACTTTGTTTGCAGATTGGCACATGTTCAGAGCTCAACAATGGGACATTGGCAGATCATAAGATGAAAACAAGAATTCGAAAGGCAGATGGAAAGATCGTGAGCCACAGGCGTCGGCAAGCAGGGCGACAGTTTTAATGGACCTTCGAACAAACAAAAAAATAGAAAATTGACAAATCACATTCTCAATCTGTTCCTGGAAACTCCAGCTGAATATACACAAACTTGAGCAGTGGATCCTCATCAACTATTTCTAGTAACTTAACTTCTTTCAGACTTATAATTGTTAATTATCTCTTCATATAATCTAAATTTAAGCCACTGGAAAAGACCTACATGTACCCATTTAAATCTTATCTTCAACTCTCCAACTCAAATGCAGACCAGATTCATTTTTTGACCAAAAGTCTCACTAGTGCATGGTATTTTGCGTAGCTCTAAACCATGTTACCATCCATTCTGAAGTCTTAAACTGATAAAAAGCCACAGCACTTATCTTCAACAATAATTCATCATCTAAATATAAAATTTTACAGACTAATAATAACATCGTATTATCTATTCTTGTCCAAGAAACATATCATTCCCTATTTGATTCTAGACCTACATGTAATCTACATACGAGGCAGAAAATGAATGCACAAATATGCAAGTGTAATGATCTCTCCAAAATGAGATATTCAATTCGAAAAGCAAACAAACTGCTGCTGCCTCGTAATAAAGCATTAATGCACTTGTTCGAACATCAACACATAAATATGGGGGAAAATCCCTAAAAATGTAAAATGGAGCAAACGTTACCATCGTAAAGAGCCACACAGTGAACCATCATCTTTAAGTGACCTATGTCAGCAATACGATAAATGAAAATGGATGAAAAGAAATCATTCATAATCCAAATGTTCACGGCCAGAAAAAATTGCTAGCCTCTGAAACAAACAGAAGAATTAAACAACGGTTCTTGAGAACCACAAATATCTAATTTAAAAGATGTATCACTGAAAGTGCAGAGAAAACCTCTGCTGATGGCCGCAGAATATATACATGCAAAACAGATCAGATTAGGAGGCAATCCAGTTGAGGTACCCATGTCATAACTCTATCTTATTGTCACAAACTTGTTGGTGCCATGTTTAGCCCAGTAAGTCTTCAGATCAATTGGGTTATTGAAATTATAATCTTCTGAAGCAAGTTTCTCCAAAACCTTCTTGAAAGCACCTTGACTCATTTTTCGTCCAGCAATTCTTGCTCCACGTCTTTTGTTACTCATTGGCAATGGATACATAGATATAGTTGTAGTGCAACAAGCTGACTGCCAACCACCACACCCCCATCGATAACACTGTTGTGGATTACCAGTACAAGAGCAAACCGGAATTGGAATACCAGATATATCCATATCAATTCCATTTATTACAACATCCAGATTCTTCTTTGTTGTTTTGGCACGATGAACAGAGGAATTACCATTTTCCTTCGGCACAGAGGGACCTTTACTTGACTTCTTTGCTTTTGATGGCTTTAAAGCTGCAGCAGCTGACCTCTTTTTGGCAGGGCCACCTGCCTTTTTAACACTTGGCTCTTCAACTGTCACCCCCGTATCATCAGTTGTATCAGGTTGGCTTAAAATCTGCATGGAACTATGACTTCCAGATGGTTCTGCAAAAACCGGATTGTAAGGGTTCCCCGGAAACATATGCAAGAATTTATCTCTGTGATTTATCCAACTGTCTCTGACATAGTCCATGTGTGTGACTGGTGGTTCAGTAACCATGCAATCCCGTGGGCGGAAGGCCCCATTGGCAGCAACCATAATGGGATTATTGGACCCCGATAGGAAAGATTTAGCGTCTCGCTCTGTTGCAGAAGACATGAGCTGAAGACCAAGGTGCCCCTTAAGGGGAGGTTGTTCATAGTAACCCCAATTCCTCATACTTAATGCATCGTCGTCCATAAAAACTATAGATCAGAAAAACTACAGATCAAGCATAGAACACACTCGTTAAATCCTCATCCTAATTCCAGTTAAACATAAAAGCATTTCAATCAGCATGACTAAGGTATCAAAATGAAATGAAAACAATGGAGCACAGACAATCAGCCAAAGAATAGAATTCAAGTAGATCAAATAACCAAAGGAAATCAACCTAGAACCAACAGTTTTAATTGAATCTCCAGAACAACCCAAATCGATAATTCATATAGTAATTCGGATAAAAATACCTCAAAAACGACAAACTGGGATCATAACCACATAAACACCCACAAACTCAAACATCAATATAATTTTAAAATAAATGATAAAATTTACGAATGGGTAAATATTTACATTGCGTACCTCAAGTTCAAGATTATAAATCAACAAATCAAAGGATAATCAAACAGATCCACAACAATCACGAACAACCAGGGGAAATAATCAAAATAAATATTTTAAATTCCTCAGAAATGAAGATTCCGATGAAAAAAATTCAATCTTTGACATTTCAAACATAGATCTGATACAAAATGATGAAAATAAAAACAGATCCACAGTTATAATAACTAAGAAATTGAATCACAACATAAATCAATGCAAAAATGCATTAAATTAAATGGAGCATAAATAATAGAATACTGGGAGAAAGACAGAGGAGAAAGAGAAGGCAAGATAAATATTGTACTTCCATGAGAGAGAGAACTTACTCCTGGTTAAACAGGCCTTTCAGGTTCTTTTTCCTTCGGATGAGAGAGGAGAGAGGAAAACTGAAGGGACAGAGTCAGAGAGATGCTTTTAAAGAAAAAATATAAAAAACATTACGACATTCCAATAGAAATGACATTTTTCTAATAGTCCATTTTAGAAGGTTAGATAGATAGTTATCACTTACTCTCTTCTTTCGCATTCTTCACGTGACATGTTGGCCAATGGTTCGGTTCGGTCCGGTTTTATACTTGAACATTATGTTACAGTATGGGCCATTGGGTAGGATTTTTGAAAAATTAATTTTTTTTATCTGCATTGAGAATTTATTTTTTAACGTCTTCAAATAAATTTTTAAAAGTATTTTGTCTTCTACAAGAAGTTTTAAAGGAAACTAATATAAGATAATTTTCGAACGAAACTCTTCTGCAAGAAATAAAAACAGAAGTAAAAATAACAATTTTGTCGAACGAGCCATAAATTCACTTATTCTCGATCTATTTAACAATGTACCTAATAATCTGTCTTGAACCCTTGACTAAGAAGCAAGAAGAGGTTTGAGAGCTCGAGATCAACGAGCCAACATAGGCCCCTCGAGTAACTCTAAACTTACTCGACCATGCAAACGTCGAATAATGAATACAAAGCCTAAAAGATGGGGTAAATAATGATAAGAAAAGCTTTATGTGAATAAGTCGGAGCTCAATTTTCGAAAGCTCGAATGCATGTTTAAGAGTGAATTACATAAATCTTTCTCGAAATTTATGACAATAACGTACAACTTCCCTCATTTTTAAAAAAAATTTAAGAATCCATACCTCATAGCATAAGTTCACCATTTTGCCATGATCTATGTATGTATGATTGTTTTATTAATTTTGATTTAGACAAAAATAAACTATTTTAATTTTAAATTTTTTATTTTT